GGAACGTTTCCGTAGCTTTCCTCGATGGAAATGGCAATGGTCCAGAAACAGACAGAATTGCTTGCTCCACTGAATGCCACGCGAAGCGCGGGAAAACAGAGTCCATGGAGTGGATGACTTGCGAGTTATAGAAGTGAACACGTGGGCGGAGAGATTTGAAGTACTGTCGCAGTATTCGGAGTAGTGAGTGCTAACCACTACACCACTGGTCCTTCATATCAGATCGAAGGATCACGTGACATCCTGAACTTTTGTGTGTGGTCCTGTTGCGAAACCCTGTAACGCAGACAGGTAGAGGGCAGCGCCTGATAAGAAAGCGAAACATGCAGGAAACTTGCGAGTCAGAAAACGGGCTTTTTCAGGGAGAACGGACTCCGGGGTGGGTGAACCACTTATAATCCGTGAGAGCTGGAATACGCGGAATCACAACAGTGACAGAGTGTCATGCGGACGAGAGAGTGCAGAGAAAAAAACAGAAGATCGACGCGTTCAAAGGGATTGAGTTCGAGTTGTCCGTAGACCCAGATTTAGGGGGGAGCTCGAACCTTCACCTGCGCGTACAGGCTACGAGGCTGTAGCGGTACAGATAAGAACATTAGTGTGTGTTTATGTTTATTCGTTACTATGCGTGTACACGAACGGACAAGGGGAAAGGGGGAAAGACGAAGGAGCTGGAGGCTGTTCGTTGTTGCCAGCCAAGGCCATCACTTCTCTCTTCTTTCAGACGGCGGCCTCTTAAGTAGCCACGCGTTGAGTTACGTCACCAGACAAGTCGAGACTTCGCAGTGGGATATTTTTCCTCACGCTATTATAACATGCTTTATACTGAAACGACACAAAGATCCACAGAGACTAGATCAAATCGATCCAGATATCACATTATTAAAAGCATCACAAATTGCAAACAATGACAAGGAATGATAACAGACATACAGATAACGAAGAATACTGCAGACACTCCAGGGAAGGGCAAGCTCAACAGAGCAGAGGACATAGAATACCAAAGAGAAAAGTGGTATTTGGAAAGAGCTACCCTACCAGCGGGTAGATAAGTCCGCCTGTAGATAAGTCCGCGCGACATCGCGATCGCTGCGTGGGCGAATATTGGATTTATTTCTCTAAGTTGGAGCCAGTTGTTGTTTTCAGAAAACTCGATTTGGAATGGACAGCTCCAGATGTGATAATAGAAAAGCAGTGAAATTGGATGAGAAGAAGGGATCAGATAAAAGAAGATAGGACAGACAAGAGTGAGAGGACCTTTTCGTAAGAAAGTTCATATCAACATTGAAACTACCTTCAATTTCTGTAATTTCGAGGGCAACGATGAAACATAAAACAAACCCAAATTTACCTCGAATTTGATTCACCTGTTAGCAAGACAAGAGCAAGAAAGGAAGAAATAACAATCGGAAATGAGATGTGTCCTTAGATTGGCTTATACTTTATGCTACGTCAGACGAAAGGAATCGCAAGAAAGGAATCTTCCATCAAACTCGGAATCCCTTGTACGGCATCCCCTCTTTCTTTTCTCGATCTTTTTTTCGACATTACTTTGGAAGCCTCTCTTGAAGTCCTCCCTTTTCTCTCGTCTGCTTTCAACTTCTGCTATTTAACCTTTCATCATTTCCTCGATCATGCACCTTTTGCCATTTCTTTTACGATCATATCTTTTACTGATACTCATGTCCTTTCCAATTTTTCTTATTCAGAAAATGACCATTGGTTTCAACTTGGCTTCGCGGCGGGCTGCTGTACTATCGACGCCATACATGCCGGTCGCCTTTTGATAGAGAAACATCGAGAGAAGCAGGAGCCCGTGCTTGTAGCGTGCCGCGTGATGTTATACGGTACGCCCTACAGCAGTGCGGCGTTCCTCCTAAAGAGCTAGTTGAGTGGGTGCGTATCCTTCACTACAGCCCAGGGAGCCAAATGCGTTCACCAGCTGGAGTTTTAATGCAGTTCCCCATCACCATAGGGGTGCATCAAGGCTCTGCGCTTTCCGAACTACTTTCCGTTGGCGTAATGAATACTATCTCACGGTCTGCAGAAGGAAGTTCCCTAGGACGCTGATTTATGCTGATGATGTGATGCTTGCCTATGAAGCTAGAACACACTCCAGCAGCAGGTGCAAGCTGGGGCCGATCGTCTGCAAAGTTTAGACTCAGGTAAAACGCCAAAAAGACCGAGTACTTGACAACCGGCCCAAATGAGCCCTCCATTAAGATTGTGAAACGGAGCTCAGCACAAGAACATTCAAGTATCTCGGATCAGCAGTTGGGTCTGATCGGTCTGATTCAGGAGTGAGAGCACGAGTGGGCGCGGCATCGTACGAATGGCGACACCCATTACTGGGATCCTCTACGATAAGAAAATGCCATCGCATCAAGTCAAACATCTCTAGAACCGTGGTTCAACCAGTCGCGATATACGGTGCTGAATGCTGGTTCGCGACCAAAAAAGTTGAAGCTCGCTCCAGTGATGGAGATGAAACTGTTGTGTTGGACGGTGGGCGTCACGCGCCTGGACCGCATCTGCAACGATGTCGTCAAAAAGTCCGGTGTACCTCCTATAGCTGACGAAATGCGAGAAACGCGCCTTCGATGGTACGGTCATGTACTTCGCGCGAAAGGCTGACACCGTGGGTAAACTGGTCTTCAGCTCGAGGTACTCGAAAGCGGCCAAAAGGGCGTCTCAAACAGCGCTGGCTTGGCACGCTGCATGACAACTTGAAAATAGCCGGAATTCACTCGGACCATCCATTCAATCGGAAGAAGTGGCGTAATCATATAAGAGCGGACTCCGCTACAGAACGCGACAAGAGCTGGAGAAGAATCACCGGGTTCAGACTACGGCTCCCATTTAGTGTTCGCGCGCGCGGCGATCGCGATGTCTGCGGACTTATCTACCGGACTTAGTGTACAATAACGTCATTTTAATTCAATTTACAATACCACGTTCGAGGAGATCCATTACATCTTCCAACTTACTGTTACCTCCAAGGTTCTTGATTTCCGATCGGATGTCAGCACTAATTTTTCGAAGCCGGGATAATGTATAGCTGAAAGTTCAAGCCAAGTGTCACTTTTACAACATTTTCAAGTTTCAGGGCCAGGGAGAGTCACAAACTATTTACTGGGAGGCTCTCCCATTCATTCCAGTTTTGGGCCCACTAGTTCAGTCAATTTTTTATCAGGGCACAGCATTGGTTGGGGATTCCCTATGGGGGGGGTCGTATTTGGCCGCCAAAAGGGGGGTCGTATTTGGGCTGGGAAAAATTTATTTTTATAGTTGATTTTTCTCGCTTTGCGGACGTTTTGGAGGGGGGTCGTATTTGGTCGTTGTTGGGAGGGGGGTCGTATTTCTGGCTAGGAGTTACGTGGTTCACTTCATGAGTTTTATGAATTTTCTGTGTTATAGGTACTATGTACGCCCGTACGATGTACGTCGCATGCCTACTACATACTCGACCAAAATCCCCATCGAATGCTGTGCCCTGTCTTTTATTATATTATGTTATCACTTCCAATCCCCTCTTAATATGCAGGAGCCACGGATCGGGGCACGCGACACACCTCACAAATGGTTAATAATCATTGACGGCCAATCCTACTACCGGTGCTCCACAGTTTGCGCTGCAAATTACGCTAATTCGACTTCCAAA